CTTCTCAAATGGTATTTTGCAGACTGCACCGCACGTTCCCAGAGGCCACCCATAGACGGGGAGGCACTAGGCAGAAACGAAAATTCGATTTTGTTCTGCAAGGCAAAGTTCTTTATCAAATCGGAGTTTTCAGCATCAATTAAGATCTTCTTCAGCTCGGTGGCAAGCAAGGGCTCGGTTAGCACCGGTGAAGTTGGTGCCACAATCGCAAAACAACCGTCTAGGACAGCCCCTACGACTAGTAAATCGCTTCAGGACATCTAGAAATGCATCTGTTGACATATCAAGAGCAAGTTCCAAATGGACGGCCTTGACTGCCATACAAATGAAAATGCACAGGTACGTTTTAACGATAGGTGCCTTGCGGAGAGCATAGGATTTGACCATAAAGGGACCGGCAAAGTCCATTCCGGTATTGTAGAAAACAGGAGAGGAGTTCACTCTTTCGGGGGGTAAATCGCCCATCAGAGGGGTAAAGATTTAGGTTTGGCTCTAAAACAGACAACACATTTAAAGATAATGGATCTGATCACTTGTCGAGCAGCCAAAATCCAATAGTCTGAGGACAGTGCGTATCGGACCTGTAAAGGACCTGCATGACCCAACCTAACGTGAGTATGGCGAATCAGCAAGGAAACTAAATGGTGTTTCTTAGGCAGTATGATAGGCGTAGGACTGTCCTCTGCATTAGACAGGCGACCACGTGCTCGAAGGAGACCAAATTCATCCAAGAAAGGAGAAAGTCGTCGTAACGCCAAAGAGGATGGGAGTTTTCCATTCTTAAGTCCAGACATGTCCTTACTAAAGGAGGAGAGTTGGATGTAGCGCATCACGTAATTGTGAGCATGATTGGAAAGCTCAGCAAAATTATGACGAACCGGGCGGTACCTAGGATGCCACTTAATAATGATCATAGTGACTCTCACGACCGTAGTCCAGGATGAAAAATTTGAAAACAATTCTGAGTCTTGCTCAAGGGACGCCAAGGCGTCGAACTGAGCCGTGTCAGGTTTCAATTCGAGGACATCGGGATCACGTATAGAATCATAGGAAGAGTTGGGCCAAGTGGTAATGTCCTGAGACAACCAGGGCGGACCAAGATGCCAGAGATCAAAGTTATTTAGAAACTGGACACAGTCGGCACCCCGCGAAGCCAGATCGGCGGGATTAGAGTCGCCAGGAACATGTCGCCACTGGGCGTCACCAACATAGTCCGAGATTTGAGCTACCCTGTTCGCTATGAATGTTTTTAGCATGTGAGGTGGGGTCTTGACCCACTGTAAAACAATAGTGGAGTCAGTCCATAACACAATACCAGAAATAGTGATATAAGGCTTAAATAGGTTTACATAATGATAAACGAGCTTTGACATGAGATGAGCGCCTTGTAGCTCAAGCCGAGGTATGGACACAGTCTTCAGAGGCGCAACCTTAGCCTTAGCAGTCAACAGTCGACAAGAAGTCGAACCTAGTATCGAACAACGTACATAGAGGCAAGCGGCATAACCTAACTGAGAGGCATCCGAAAAGGCATGAAGCTCAATGACATCTAACATGTTCAAAAAACGAGGGAATGTTATCTCACCCAAGTGAGATAACGAAGAATAATATTCCTCCCACTCCGCCACAAGGTTAGCCGGCAAGTGCTCATCCCAGCCTAGTGAGTTTCGCCATAAGGTCTGCATGAAGCATTTAGCTCTCATCACGATAGGCGAGATAAAACCACACGGGTCATACAAACGAGCAGTTTGCGACATGATTGAGCGCTTCGAGAGCGGGGATGGACAAGAGGAAACCATTTCATGCGTAGGATAAGACAATGTGTCCTGTACTGGATCCCAGGATAAACCAAGAATGCCATGAAAGTTATTGGGAGTTTGATCTTCCAAACAGATATCGTCCAACAGCGAGGAACAATTACTGGCCCATTTCTTTAGCACGAAGCCACCTCTGCCTAACAGCTCTACAAGCTCGGTCTTGAGGCGCCGGGCTTCAGCAAGAGTATTAGAACCACAGGCAAAGTCATCCACAAAAATATTAGCTTCCAATGCTCGTTTGGCTAGCGGAAAATCCATGCCTTCCTCCTGAGCAAGCTGCAGTAGACAGCGGATAGCTAAGTATGGAGCGCAAGTGGTACCATAAGTCACTGTGCGCAACGCATAGATGCTTATAGGATCAGTTCGGGTTTCACGCCACAATATGCATTGATATGCGGAATCCTCCGAACTAACTAATATCTGCCGGAACATCTGCTGGATATCAGCGCAGAACACAAAATTATACCTTCTAAACAACGTTAAGACATCACTTATTAATGACTGCAAACCCTTACCGGTCATCAAGGACATCATTCAGCGAATACCCCGTGCTAGACTTACAGCTAGCATCAAAAACTACACGGATTTTAGATTTATCTCCGTGTGTTCGGAATATGCCGTGGTGAGGGATGTAGTATTTAGGATAAGTGATATCCGTCACGAGTGACATATGTCCTTTATCAACGTAGTCTCGCATGAAATCGACATAAAGAGACTTAAAGGTAGGGTTAGAGTTAAACTTGCGTTCCAAGGCATGGAAACGCGAGAGAGCACTGTTAAAGGAGTTCCCCAGACGGGAGTCATGGTCAATCTTAAATGGTAGACTAATGACGAAGCGTCCTGAGGGAAGGCGAGTAGTTGTACGAACAAAATGTTCCTCGCAAAGCTTCTCCTCGTCAGTCACCAAATGCTCAACTTGAGGAGGCTCTTCAAGCTCCCAAAAACGATTAAAGGACTCAAATGAGTCGTGTTCGCCATCAAGGGAAGAAACTAGACATTGGGAATACATACAGTCCTGACTCAGACAAGAATCCAAAGGCAACTCAGCCACGGGCTGGAGTGCACCAGACTCGGTCATGGGACTCGATGAATTCACACATGTGAAATATGAAGCTTCATTGGCAATAGGCGCAGTGCCCATAAGCACAAATCCAAAGATAGTGGATACCGCCATGGGCAGGCCTTTTCCAAGAGGAAATATAGTGCCATTGAGAGAAGCTGCGACAAGCTCAGCATTGAGTAACAAATCCACCTTGGAAGGCTGTCCAAAGGTGGGGTCGCTCAGGACTAGATGCTTAGCGGCTTCGAAGACTTGGGGGGATATTGGCACACGTGGGGTGCACTGAGCGATTTGCGGTAATATATGGAATGTGTGGGACTCGGTAAGTACCTGCCCTCCTATATTAGCAACCGTCAACTTACAACATCCCTTCGAGGCCGGAGGTGTAGCCAGACCGATACCACAGACCTTGACCGAACTGTTAAAACGGTTCACACCTAGCTTCTGAGCACAGGCCTCGGATATAAAAGAGACTTGACTAGCGCTGTCTAATATAGCTCTAGCAATCAAAAACCTCTTAGGGTTCACTTGGACGCGGACCAGACAAGTGGCCATGAGCACGCTAGTAGACTTACTAGAAGCACTCACCGACATACTTTGTTGGGACCCAAGATCCTCCTTGGGCGGTGCAGCAGAAGGAGCAGGCAGGCTGGGTGGAGGCACAGGCTTCCCTCTCCAAAATGTAACAGGCTATGGTGGCGCGTAGAGCCACACGAGCTACAAGAAACAGTAGAATTACATGAGCCAACATGTTTAGAATTCAAACAAGATGTACATAACTTGGCATTTTTTATCAATTTGAAGCGTTCACGTGGTGATTGCACCAATAAGTGTGAACAGTCAGTCACGGAATGCTTATTCGAACAAATAGGACAAGTGCTATCATTGGAAGTAACCAAAGATGAAGCCGCCTTAGAAGACGTACTTAAGCTCTTATTAGGTTTAGGGATAGCTTTAGAATTAGCCTTCCCTTTAGAATTATTAGAATCGAAACTAGGCAGCTTACGAGAGGACATAGCTGATTCCTTATTTTGAGCTGTCTTCGTTAAAAAGTCAATAACATCCTTTGTAAGGGGATGATTTTCCAACTCATTAAGATGCTCTTCACATTTAAGGCGAAGCTTATCATCGAAATGAGAAAGCATATATCGTACATAAACACTTTCAAAAATATTAACATCGCTTAGTGACTTCAAATAGGCGTAATTAAGGTTAAATAAATCAACTAAATCCCTAATAGAGCTAGGAGAGTCTAAAGATACCTTAGGTAACTCTAATAGGTGTTGACAATATGAATTTACCATTAATTTGGAATTCTGATATCGTTCAGTCAAGGTGTCAATAGCCAACTGAAAATTCTGGTCGTCAATTGGCAAAAGGCTAATTTTTTGATAGGCGCTACCCTTCAAATGATTAAGTAAATAAACTAGCTTCTGCTTAGGAGTCAAAACAGGGTTATCAATAACCATGATTTTGAATTTAGAATAAAATTCATTAAACGCCGCTGGATCCTTCCCATCAAACGTGGGTAAAGACAGACGTGGTAAATCCGAAGATGACAACATACTTGAATTATTAATAGTTTGATTAAACTCACCCATAGTGGCTGAAGCAATTGTAGACGAAGCCATTGGTTTGGGCATAGCTCTGTTCAGAAACAATTCTGATTGTAGGCGTATGTCCTTAAATTTGGAGACAGCAGCTAGGAGTGTCTCTTCCTCCAATCCCTCCGGAAGCTGATCCATGTTAAGAAAGGTGTCAAGTTTATCCTCCAATTTCTCAAACTCCTCCTTGATGAGGGACTGGTAAATTGACAAATCATTAACAAAATACGGGCTTTTGTTATCCAATGCTAAGAGTTTCGTGACGAGGGATTCAAAAGCCACGAGATCCGTGGAGCAGATCCTATTGAATGCTGTCAACGTCCTTTTCGACATGATGACCGTTAAATATTAAGACAAATATAAAGACAAATATTAAGAAAATGAAGCTTAAAATTTGAACGAACGTCAAATTTGAAAGAACTAAAACACAAGGTTACGGGGGAGCAGGTTAGAACAACAGGTGAACTGATTCGAGAATCGATTATCGAACGGATGACTAACCCGATTCCTAGAACGGTTCGCAGAATGGTTCGACGGGTCCGTGAACAGAGAGAGTCCCGAACCTGCACGCGAAGACAAGTCTAGAAAGATAATCCTACACAGGGTCGGGGTTCGAATACAGGAAAGATCCGGTGGTTACCGTGCCCACGAGAGAGACTCCCTCCTAAACGAAACACACACGTAACAACAAGTATCATAAAATGAAATATTTTTCAAAACTGACCATTTCTATCTATCCGGAGCAAAAATGTGAATTAGAAAACATAAAAATCTCA